GGGACGGGACAACCGGCCGGCCCGTCCGTCCACGGCGCCGCGCAGCCGCTCCCGGGGCCGCGGGTCCCGCCACGGCGCCCGGCCCGGCCCTCCCGGGAATCACCTCAACGCCAGCGCCGCCATCTTGGAGCGCCACACACACCGGAAGCGGCCGTGACGCACTTCCGCCCCCACCGCCCGGGGCAGCCCGTTCCTCCCGGGGCTGCGCAATACCCCCGGGCTGCCCGCCACCCCTGCCCGTTAACCCCCGCCTCGTTACCCCTAGAGCTGCCTGTTACCACCAGAGCTGCCCCTTCCCTCCCCAGGCTGCCTGTTACACCCACCGGGGCTGCCCGTTACCCCGCAGAGCTGTCTGTCACCCCCCGCCCCCTTACCCCCAGAGTTGCCGGTTACCTCCCAGGGCTACGCGATACCCCCGGGGCTGCCCGTTACCCCCTCTTGTTAGCCCCAGAGCTGCCCGTTAACCTCCCCAGGACTGCCCGTTACTCCCCCATGTCTCCCCCCGAGCTACTGGGGAGCAGGACGGGGGCTCCCCAGTTCCCCGGCCCGCCAGGACCCTCCTGCCTGCAGCTGCAGCCTATGGAGGACGTTGAGGCAGGAAAATCTCGCAGCTCCCGGGCGAGTGCCATCCCCGTCCCCATCCCTGTTGCCTGCCCTCCCCCAGCCACCAGCTCTCTGGGGAACTCAAAAACCTTCTGAGGCAAACCCCACTTTGGAGCTTTTCACCCCAAAACACCACTTGCTCCTCGGCCTATGGCAAAGCAGCTGGAAAGCCCTTGTGCAAATTCCTGGCCTGGGCTCTGCACAGGGTGGTGGGACTTTGGTGGCTCCCCACTTTGCACCCCACGGGGATGGATGTGCCCTTGTCCATCACCACCCTCTCAAAGCTGTGTTTTCACCCCAAAATGAAGCTGGAGCAGAGGCTGCCGGGAGCACACTTGGCCGGAGCTGGCAGTGCCAGCCAGGGAGCCCCACACAGTGGGGCAGGAGCAGGGACCGCACCGGAGGGTGCCAGCAGCCAGCCGGTGGCTGCAGGACAGGAGGGGACATACCAGTGGCCTGTGATGTGGTTGGCGTGAGACCCCAAGCCCCGCCAGATGGGTCCATCCCTGGGACTAACCGGGGATCGTGGCCATACGCTGGTGCCCTCCGGCTCCGGCCACATTCCTGCTGAACCGCCTCCGCTGCGGGCGGGAATGCGGCTGGACAAAGGGTGCTGTGTGCTCAGCCCCCCCCGCCGCATGCTTCCCCCTCCTCACCCATTGCCAAACTAAATGCCCCCTTTCAGCCCGGGGCACCCAGCACCCCCTGGCCCCCACCGCCCTGGCTGCCTGGCGCCCATTGGCCCGAGGCCGGGGCGCCGCCGGCATCATACGGTGCTGCTTGCTCTTAAACCTCGGCCCCCGTCCCGCCGGCACCCTTCGGCACACCACCGGGCCTCGCGCACTGCTAGCCCTCCATGCGGCTCGGAGCCAGCCGGTGACAGGCAGCCACCATGTCACAGGGTGCTGGGGGCAGCAGCAGCCTCCTCCTCCTCGCCGGGCTCCTCTTGGCGCTGGGTAAGCTGGGGATGGGGATGGAGAACCGGGGATGCTGGTCCCAAAATCCTGATCCCAGATGCTGGGGGGTATCGGGGGGCTCCAGACCCCTGGGAGGTGGCCATGGGGCTGGCGGCCACCCACACATCTGCTTTTGGGACCAATCACTGGTAGTGGCAATGCTCGGGGACTGTATCGGCTGCCATGCTCCGGTCCCCATCACAGGGCTGCAAGGGGAGTCCCAGAACCAGCCACCTCCCTGGGGACAGGCAAGGGGTGCTGGGTGCCAGACCCAGCCCTGCTGGCATCCCCGGGTATCAGCCAGTGCCAGGACATGGTCCCCTTTGAGCCAGCCACGGGGACGCCAGGGTGGAGGCTCCCCGCAAAGTCACCCGTGGTGGCACAAAGAGCCGCTGTCCCTCACCAGCCCTTCTGCTTTCTCTGAGGCCAACAAAAGCCCTTTGGCGGCAGCACGGGGCTGGGCACGGGGCCAGCGTGGGGGCGCAGACCAGCCAGCAGCCCTGGTGATACATACCTTCCCTGTGCTGGGGTCCCCTGTGGGGCTGACGGGTTTGTGCCCCCTGGCAGGGCCATCCCCGACATCGTCCATCCACGTGTACACGCAGCGGGAGGTGTACGGCACCGTCGGCTCCCACGTCACCCTCTCCTGCAGCTTCTGGTCCAGCGAGTGGATCTCCGAGGACATCTCCATCACCTGGCACTTCCAAGCTGAGGGGTCTCGCGACAGCACCTCTGTAAGCACCTGCTCCGCTTTGGGGCTGGGGGTGGTCCTGCTGTGCTTGGAGCCACCGTGACCCCAATGTCCATGTGTCTGTCCCCATCGCTAGATATTCCACTATGCCAAGGGACAGCCCTACATCGATGACGTGGGCAGCTTCAAGGAACGGATGGAGTGGGTGGGCAACCCCCACCGCAAGGACGGCTCCATCGTCATCCACAATCTGGACTACACCGACAATGGCACCTTCACCTGCGATGTCAAGAACCCCCCTGACATTGTGGGCAAGTCCTCCCAGGTCACACTCTACGTCTTTGAGAAAGGTACGGCACCGGCAGTCCCCTCCCCACCTCAGTTTCCCTGCTCCAGCTGGGGTGGCTGATGGGGCACTGGTGTCCCTACAGTGCCCACCCGCTACGGCGTCGTGCTGGGCTCCATCATCGGCGGGGCTCTGCTGCTGGTGGCCGTGGTGGTGGCCCTTGTCTATCTCATCCGCTACTGCTGGCTGCGGCGGCAGGCAGCCCTGCAGCGACGGCTAAGGTGAGCGCCACTGCCCAACTGGGGCAAAACCACCCCAAAATGGGGCTGCCAGCAGGACTGGGGGGAGAGTTGGCCTTTCTGAGCCACCTTTTTGCCTTTCCAACCCAATTTCAGTGCCATGGAGAAGGGGAAGCTGCAGCGATCGGCCAAGGACACATCCAAGCGCAGCCGGCAGGTGAGCACCGAGGGGTTGTGTGGGCAAAATGGCCCAGCCAGGGTGGGGGTGATTCCCTCTCCTACCTTTTGGTGTGGGAGGAGAGGCTGCGGGGCGAAGTCCCCAGAGCAGGGGGGTACCACGGTGCTGACACTGCCCTGTCCCCGCAGGCACCCGTGCTCTACGCCATGCTGGACCACAGCCGCGGCACCAAGGCGGTGAGCGAGAAGAAAGCCAAGGGAGCCCCGGGAGATGCCCGCAAGGATAAGAAATAGCGGTTAGCAGGCAGGGAAGGTACCGTGGGGGCAGGCGCCGGGGCCCCCCCGCCCCCCAAAGTCGTCATGACCATCGAGATGGAGCTGCGGGGGGAGGCCGCCGAGGCAACCCATCCCCCGGCCACCGTCCGCTCCCCCAGCAAGGGCAGCCTCAAGAGTGCCCTGATGAACATCATCAAGCCAAACTCTGGGACCTGACACCCAGCCGCTGGTGGAGGGGGGGTGCCAGGATGCGGCCCCCCCGACTCCGGGAAGCGGCCGCCCCGTGGCACGGGACCCGGCGAGGAGTGGGGTGTGGTCCTCGCCCCTGGTCCCCCAGCCTCGGGGATGCTCCAGCGTCCCCACACCCTGTCCTGAAGCCCCTTGGTTGGTACCTTCCTCTGCGCAACCGCTGCCCTGCCCAGCCCCGGGCACTGATGTAATTTTTCTATTTGAAGATGCAACCACTGAATTTTGGGTCTGTCCCCCCCGGGCTGTCTCGGTCCCCCCCTCCCCAGGGACCTGCGGGGTCCCTGCGGGACCGTGCCGCCCCCATCCCTCCCCGTCACCCCCCCCCCCAAACCAGTCTCTGGGAGGGTTTCTCTGGCCCCATTGTTGCTCCTTTTCTAGCCGTTTTCTCGTCTCTCCCTGCAACTGAGCTCAAATGACGTTGCGGGGTGGCCCCCGCCCCATCCCCTCCGTCCTGCTCCCATCCCCCTTTAACCCTCCTGCCCTGTAACCCCCGGCCCCCCTGCATCGGCCGGAGCCTCATGGAGGAGGAGAGGCTGCGGCCAGGCTGGAGGAGCTGCCGCTGCCCATCACCCCAGAGCCAGGCGCCGCTCCCCAACATGTTTTTCTATGCCCTGTCCATGTCCCCCCATCCCCACGGCGCCATTAATAAAACTCACATCTCCAGGAGCCCGGTGTCTGCCCCAGCTCATCATCGTTCCCTGCTCGAAGTGGGGGTGTTTGGGGGAGGGAGGGGGGGCAGAGTGTGGCTGAGCACTTGTAAACTCATTGCATGGAGGCCCACCAGCTCCCACAGGGAGAGGGGCATCCCTGCCACCGTGCCAGTTTCCCCAGGGGTGAGGTCATGTTTTGAGGGCATCCTCACGGCACCCTAGGGACCCCCCTCAGGTGGTGGGGGCTGTCCCTGAGGCCACCCATTATGGCTGCACCCCACCCTAGGGCCACCTTCTGCCTCATCCCCATCAGCTGCTAATTAAAGCTCACTCCAATTAACACAAGAGGCCAAGTCTCAGGTCCTGCCCTGGGTGCACAGCCCCGGGCACGGCCATGGGGTGGACAGGGATCTCCCTCCATGGCCATTGCTCACCCAGCAGTGACCGTCACCATCTTGGCAGCGGGGCTCAGGGAGGGACCACGGCCCGGGCATGGGGCAGGTAGTTGGGGCGCTGGGCTGACTCTGCGCTGGAGTGGAGCAGGAGCACTCCCACGCCAGGTCTTGGTGCCAGCTCACAGCCCCATCCTGCCACTGTACCATCTGACTCTGCATGGGAGCAGGCCGGGAGCGCTTGCTCCCACACCGACACAGCAGAGGCTGGGAGGGAGGGGGCCCTGCACTGCCCCCACAGCTCTGCCACCAGGGCTATAATTGTCTTTTCCCTAATAAGTCTGCACAGCGAGTGGGGGCCGAGCCCGACCCCGGTGCCCCTGGGGTGTCCCCTGGGCCCTGCCTTTCCCTTGGCCACTGACACTGTTTTTCTTTCCAGGGAGCTATTTCTGCAAACGCGCTGTGGCTCTGCACCGGGTCCCGGTGTCCCCACTCACCCCACAGCATTGGGCACCGCAGAGACCGGCCCTGCATCCAAGCGTGCAGAAATCCCCATGCAAATCCCCCAAATAGCTTTATTTCAATCACCCCAAAGCACTTTTTTCTCATCACCAGCAGGTACCTCCTGCAGCTGCTCTTGGCAGTGCCATCACAGGAGCTGGGGCTGGGAACCGCTGCCGAAACCAGCCCTGAGTAAAACTTCAATGCCTGGAGGGACACGGCACTACAAGGCCTTCATCCCCCAAGGAAGAGGAGCAAGTGGCAGCATCTTTCATCGCTGCTGCAAAGAGCGGTGTGATGGGAAACGAGGCCACGGCTCCAGGGGCTGAGACCCAGCAGATGATAAATTAAGTGGAATTTCATGGGAAAAACCTCAAATCAGAGGGTGACAGGAGATCCCAGGGTGATGAAGCCATCCCCAAAGCACCAGCTGAGGAGCCCCATCCCAGTGGGGGAACACTCCATCCACATCCCGTGACCACCCCTGCCCACACCCCCCCCCCAGCAGGGACAGCCCCAGGGATCCGCAGGGCTGCTTTTAACAGGGGTCTCCACCCGCTCCCCTGGAGAAGGGGGACCTAGGGGCCCTGCCCAGTGGGGGACCATCCCCACACTGCCTCCCACAGACCACATGCCAGACTGGCTCCTCTTCCTGGTGGTTTATTCTTTACACATGCTAAAAGCCCCCCCCAGGGGAGGGGACGGTGACAATGACAAGAGCATGGATAGGGGGGCAATGCAAGGATGGGGAGCACTCTGTGCCAGGGGAGCCCTGTTTTCCCGTGGTGGGCTGCAGCCTGCAATGAGACCTGTCCTCCCCACAGTGTCCCACCTCCTGGGACGGGACAGGGGCTTCCCTTGCTCAGGGGACACCAGTACCCCCCACGTTTCCCCAGCAGCCAGCATCATTGCCACAGACAGGGAAATGGAGGCTGGCCCAGGGAAAAGGGCATTTCCATGCCACCCCCTCACACAAGGGCCACCTCCACTCCAGGGAACATAGAACTCAGCAATGTCCCCCTCACATTGGCCCCCCAGCTTCACCCAGGGTCCTGTCTCAGGGGTGGGCAAGGGGTAGGGAAGGGCCAAGCCCTCCCCAACCCCGCTCACAGAGGATGGGGCAGCCCCAGCATGGCGGAGGTCAGGATGGGACTGTGCCCATGTGCGAGAACAGGGCACCGCCACCAGCTAGGGGTCCTGGGACCCCAGAACCACTCAGGGCCCCGACTCCTTCTTCCGCTTCTGGAAGCGGCGGAATTTGTCCTGGATGGCAAGCGCGGCTTTCTCCGTCTCAGGTGCGCTCAGGTCAATGTCGATCTCTTCCTCCTCCACCTTCTTGGGGTCACCGGCTTTGGCTGAGGGGGGCGACAGGACAGGGGCTGCCCTCGTTACAGCCTGGCACCCCCAGGCTCACCCCAGCGCTCAGTGAGCACCCCGGGCCCCCCCCCCCACCAGCAGCAGGGTACACCCAGGGGGGCATCCCCCCCCACCCAGGGGAAGGACAGAGCAGGTCCCCAAATCTATCCAGGTGTCACCTCCCCCCCCCATGGTGGGGACACAGATCCTGGAGGCTCTAGGGACAGGAGCGGCCAGCAGGGTCCCAGGCACCAGAGCAGAGCAGGAGTCCCAGGAGGGCATGGGACAGAGGCGACACCAGTGACGGGGCACCCCACAGGATGCACCCCACCGGTACCGGGGGTCCTCACCTTCCTCCTGCCCGTCGGGGGCCTCTGCCACGGAGGGGGACTCATGGGGGCTGCGCTGCAGAAAGAAAAGGGGTGCCCGGGGGTGACACGGGGCCCCCAGCAGCAAACCCGCATCGGGGAGGGGGGGGGACAGGCTCTGCTTTGTCGGGGACCCCCCACAGCCACCGGGGTCCCTCCCACGTCCAGCAACCCCCCCGCCCCCAGCCTCGCTATTCCCTTGGCTGATTCTCCCCCGGCCCGTTGCTAAAAATAAAAGGAAAACCCCGTTGCTGTGTGCTGCCCGGCACCGGGCCCTCACCTCGCTCATGGCCGTCCCGCTGCCGCCGCCGCTCCCGGTGTGCGGCGCCCCGCGCTCCGCCAC